ACTGTACGATTTTTTAAACTTTATATTTAAGGGAGCATATTTAAGAGGACCTCAACCCTTTATTCTATCAAGATGACATTAAGTATAAATATCCAGTATTACCCAATATGTAGCCAAATAATTACTGGAAATAATAAGAATGAGTAAATTCAGTATAAAATTACGACATATTATTTAAAACGTAAGTAACAAGGTGACTGTCGAATCAGCCATTGAATCCGCCACTCGTGTCGTCCATTTGTTCGATATCATTCCAAATGGACCACACCTTGCCCCATTCGGTCGTAACGATTTGGCCACCTTTTTCTCATACTTTACGGTACACTTCCTTCTAGTAAAATCCACGAACTCGATCGACTTTTCGTACCCTTCAGCCGCTTGTGGGAGAAGTGTAATTAAGAACGAAACCCCTAACACGGTTGTGGCCGGAAGTAAGGGGTAAACCAATATGGGGAGCCAGACATACATCCTAATTGTCCCATAAATTGCAACAATTGTCATGGAAACGCCACAAAATAGGAGCGGTGGCACCGATCTGTAACAAAATGCTGCATTGACGTACTGAATCCACACTTGAAGTTCGCGGTACAGTTGAATTTCTGCCGAGCATAAAACGACCATAGGGCTAGACGAAGTTTTGAATTTGAGTATTTCCCGTAATAATATTGCTCCTTGTGACACACTTTGCATTACTATGAGCCCCACTATTATAAATGCGAAGGCTGACTTTAACATTTCAGTCGCTAAAGAATAGACCAGCAAGATTCTAATGAGTTGCAGGATAAAATTCCAGATCCGTGAGTTACATTGCAGCAAAGTATTTAGTGGATCCAAATTAAGGAAGACTATTCCAGGACCGACCAAAACTACGAGAAGGACGGACCCCCACAAAAGAAGTTTTAAGAGGTACCACATCCAGGGCTGTGATCGTTTTTTAGGAATTTTGTTCCAAAGTCCTGCAACATTTAGTAATTACATAAATATGTACTATGCTCTAAAATAACTTGGAGATAAATCGTCATTATAGTGCTCTATATTTGGGTAATGATTACGGAGACGTTTTGTCACCACCGGAAAATAATTTAAAACAACTCATTGCGTCGTTAATAGGAAATCCAGTCCTTTCATATGGTAGAAAAAAGTCTCATACTCAGATAATAAAAATGCTCAATTTGTAACGTCATGAGTTTTTTTTATTTATTCCGTTGGTGACAAAACGTCTCAGCAATCATCTATAAGTTATAGTCTATGACACATCCGTGGGTGGGTGACGATTTGTCTTCAGGTTATTTTTAATGTACACAAAAAATCCACATTACTTTCTGGTGGAATTTCTATTAAAAAACTTGCCTTCAAATTTCTCTTCAAATTCGACAATCCGATTGAGAATGTTTGCCGCGACGCTGGGATAAAACGCCATCGTCACACTCGTCCCTACAATGCATAGAGGAAACAGGAGGAAGTATATGTTCACAAATAGTTCAAGTTTTTCAATCGTATCCCTTTCTCCATGAGTTGTGACGTAATGTGATGACTTGTTGAGAAGTTTTGAAACCAGTAGGAATCCGCAAACCAGCGTGTGAGCAAACATCCATATTGAGGGAGATGCAAAAAGAATGTGGCCCCTGGTGGTGACATTTATCACTGTGAGTTCCTTTTTACTCATACAAACAACAAAGCGTAACGGGGATATTTTCTTATACAAGTAAATAAATTCGTGTAGAAGTTGCCACATTAGGGTTGACACTAGGGAACCTTCGGCAGTGGTGGTGGTGGTGGGGGCAACTGGTTTCCCACGTGTCATGCTGGCGTGGCAGGGATGTGTTAGTTAAAGATTTTTCATTTTTTTCTTTAGTGAAAACCTGGAATTCTTGTTTTTCTTCGATGCGTTTTGAATCCGTCGATTGATCAGAGTAACAAATTTAAGCAGAATTACATATATACATATGTATAAAACAAGCTGGTAATGATTATTTTAGTCCAATAGTGTGGACTTAAACACATATATTTAGACGTTAATATTCATAATAAAGTAAGCAATTCTACCCTTCGATAATTTTTTTGGAGACGTGCAGAGCCGTACATAAGTAATTTTACTTGGAAATGTTATCTTGGGTGACCGATATGTTCCTCTTTCGCAAATTTTTATGTAAATATGTATGTCTTTACTTGTTTACGTAGAATAAGATGAAGCAAAATTGGCTTCGTAAAATTTAGTGAGATCTGTTTTACATATAATATTTTAACCAAGCTAGTCGATTGTGTGCTTCGAAGGTGCATACTGCCCAGTGAGGTAGAATTTCAAGATGTAATAAGTGCGGCAGGGGTTTAATTTAATAATTTACCGTAGAACCTCTATTTATAGCCCTATTCTAATTATAGCCGGTCTTTAAATATAGCCGGGTCTAGAGACCAAGATTTTAAAATTTTAGCCGGGTCCCTAGTTATGACCGGGTCTTCAATTATGGCCTGACTTGTTCGCTGTGTCCCTGTTCATAGCCCATGCAAGAAAAATGTAGCGCATTATGCTAGTCAACGGATAAGTTGAACTACTAATATTGACCCATTAATTTCTAGCTAATAATGAATGTACATAATCATGTCAGAAAGTTAAAAAACCTGCTAAACCTCGTTTAAAGATGAAAATTTAAAATCAATTAGTTACTGATGACATATCTTGCTAAATAAGAAAACCCAAATTGAGTCAGCATGATCTTGTTACATGTAAAAAATTTTGGCAGAGCAAGATTTAGCCGGGTCTCTAATTATAGCCGGTCTCTAATTGTAGCCGGGTCCGTGACCCTCAGTTTTGGATTTTAGCCCCGGCTATAAATAGAGTATTTACGGTACTTTGCTATATATATTCATGAGCATGTATGTGATGCTATCGTCCACGTCCATGCCTTGTGGGTAGAATAATCTACATAATAAAATTATCAGCCTAGAATTTAAATAATTCATTGGTTTGCAATATTTGCGTAAGTCATATAGATATATCTATTTTTATGTTGGATTGCATTGTACTTACATATACAGATATACATACATATGAAGACTACATACGCAGACATGTACATACATATGATGGATGTTAGATACATATGTATGTATGTGTATCGTCCTTTTTAGTCCCATTAATTGTATTTGGTATTGACCCTTATAACATGATAGAACCATCGCAAATATATGCATGTACATATGTGTGGATCTTGGATCATTATGAGCGATAAGGATACATATTATGTATTTTGCATACACGGTTACAAACCCGGTATATGTAGTGAAGCAGGTACATACTTCTTGATTTTTCTGCATTAAAGTTGCTACCGCTTACTATTAAGATTATACCGGTCCGTAAAAATTTGCAACCGATGTAGAAAAACTTTAATGCCTATGTAGATTTTATCGTATTTTATACGTACAATAAGTACTTATCAAGACCTCTTTGATAGAGTCATGCATGAATTACCGCTTGGCATTATTTTAATACTGGATTTCTAAGAGTGCATTTTTTTAGCAGGTGAAAACTATATGAGAACTTTTTTAAAATAGTTTTTAACTTCCCATACGTTGTTAGATTATGGATTTCTGAAGGTGTATGCACATACATACATACATACCGTAAAACCTCTATTTATAGCCCTATTCTAATTATAGCCGGTCTCTAAATATAGCCGGGTCTAGAGACCAAGATTTCAAAATTTTAGCCGGGTCGTCTCTAATTATAGCCGGGTCCCCAATTATGGCCGGGTCTCTAATTATGGCCTGTCTTGTCCCCTGTGTCCCTGTTCATAACTCATTAAAAAAATGTTGCACATTATCCTAATCAACGAATAAGTTTACCTACTAATTTTTACCCATTAATTTCAAGTTAATAATGGATATAATCATGACAGAAAATTTAAAAAAAACCTGCCAAACCTAGTTAAAAATGTAGATTTAAAGTGAATGGGTTACTGATGGCATATCTTGCTAAATTAAAAAACTCAATTGAGTAAGCATGATCTTGTAAAATCTAAAATTTTGGGCGGAACAAAATTTAGCCAGGTCTCTAATTATAGCCGGGTCCGTGACCCTCCGTTTTAAATTTTAGCCCCGGCTATAAATAGAGTATTTACGGTACTTACTTCGGGTAAGAAAAGTTATAACATGGAGTTCAATGGACAGGTTATTGGAAATTTGATAGACATCATTGTTAATCATTGTTGAATGGGTTATTCGATTTTCCGAGAAAGTAGCCTATCTACATATTATGCAAAATTTCATCGAAAATTTTCCCAACATACAGACTCATGTGTGTAATATAGGTATACTATGGTAACTTGAATATTCATATTGTCAGAGAATGTCATACATATGTCAATAAAAAATTGAACCAAACTTTGTTCCAGTTTAGGAAATAAAGTTGATGACACACGGCTAAGTACGCTACCTTATTTATAAAGTACATACATACATATGTAAAGCAAGCCCGTAAGTAAACCTAACTGAAGTATTTCTCACTTACGAAGTAGGTTTAATTTTATATGAGTTCAAATTATTACTGTTTCATCAAGTTGAATCTGTTCACTGCCTATCTGTATTAATCTGTAACAGAAGTGAAGAACCTCAGTTACCATTTAAATAAGTATGTAGAAAATACCCATATACATAAATATGAGCTCCATACCCCACAAGTGACAGCATGACAAACTGGTTAATTTCAATTGAGCAAACCGCACGTCATTGCTTTGCAAAATAAAAGCAGATTTAGGAACAAGTCGTTTAAAACAATTTACATAAATACAACCATATCATGGCCAATTTATTTTAATGTTGCAAGATTTCATCCATGACAGAAAAATTTCTAGGTCTAGCTCAAGGCCCAAATAATTAAGTATTGTACTTACATATGTATGTATAACTTCATTTTTTATCCTTATCTTTTAAGTATTTAGGATCCGTGCACATATGCATGTATCAATTTCTCGTTGTTCTACATATGCAAATTTAGCAAATTAAATCCATCTCAGTCTGTTAATACACTCTCTTAAGGCAACATGATTTCCAAAACTGTTCTAATTTTGGCAATTTATTTTGCCCACAGCGTATTTGGTGAAAGTGTCACCCTTTCTCAAGGCGTGGTCAAAGGTTTCCAAGCGAAGTCGCGGTCATCCAAAGACTATCATGGATTCAAGGGGATTCCTTATGGCAAATTCGAAAAAAGATTTGATGTAAATACATACAAAACGGAAATACCCCAATAAATGCTTGCATATTTTCGAATATATATTTTGGAATTTATATTTTTATTCTAGATTTCTAAACCTGCCGGAAATTGGAGTGGGGTTTTTGATGCCACTTTGGACTATGAAGGGTGCTTGGATATCGGTCTTTTAGGTGCTCCCTCGGGTGTCGAAGATTGTTTAAAATTGGACGTTTATACACCAAACGTGAGCAAGCATTTTATTTCGTAGGCGTTTACATAATTTCTTGGAAAATTCAATTGCAAAAATTAAGTAATTTTCTTATCTTTAGCATTCAGCCTCTGCGAAAATGCCAGTTCTCGTGTGGATTTATGGAGGTGGATTCCTCATCGGAAGCACGAAAGAATACGGACCAGACTATTTTATGGATGAGGAGGTAATAAAATGATCCCTTAATTGATTAATTTTACACTGTTAGAAATCTGGCATATTTATGTAGTCACGCGGTATAGATTTCTCAGTATTAAAGTTGGTACCGACTGGTATCAAAATTATGACGGACCCTAAAAATTTGACACTCGACCGGTATAACATTAATACTACTTTACTTACTACACTGTATTACCAAAGAATCATACAATAAATACCGTTTGGTATCATTTTAATCCTAGATTTCTAACCGTGTAAACTAAAAGATTTGCCATAAAAAAGTTTACTTGTCACAAAAAATAGGTCCTCCTCGTCCTAATAAACTATCGGGTAGGCCCCTTAGGATTCTTAAATGCTGGGGTAGCTTCCGCCCGAGGAAACCAAGGCCTTAAGGATCAAGTCTTAGGGCTCAAATGGATTCAAGAAAATATCGAAAACTTTGGCGGAAATAAAGACCGGGTGACAATTTTTGGCGAGAGTGCTGGCGCCATCTCGGTCGCCCTTCATGTCGCCAGTCCCATGGCGAAAGGCTTGTTTCACTCGGCCATCGCCCAGTCGGGCACGGCCGTTCAAACCTTCATCTCAGTTTATTGGGGGCGAGGTGTGGATCAAGCGGTGAAATTGGCGCAGGCGAATAATTGCCCGACCAGCAATAAGGAATACATGGTTGAATGTTTGCAGCACCTTGACCCCAAAATTTTGGGCAAAAGTAGTCTCAAAATGGACGATTTTGGGTTCCTAGCAGACTCTGGGTTTACAACGCCTAGCATAGAAACGTATTCGGATGGGGCTGATGACCCCAACGTGTACCTGGCAGAAAATCCTTTGGACGTATTTAAGGCTGGGAGGTTTAATAAAGTCCCAATAATTATGGGTTTGATTGGATGGGAATCTTATGCGGCTGCTTCAACAAGTATGCACTTTTAAGTTATTAATTTTCTGCATTAAATAACTTGGGGACAAATCGTCACCCGCGGGGGTGTTATGTATGTGTGATGGTCTATTTTTTAGTGAAAAATTCGTATCAAGCAGACGTTGGGTCGTTATTAAATAATTCGTTACTTTCATAAAAAAAATTTTAATAACGACGTAATGTCTGTTCGCACTGATTTTTTTGAACTTATTTTCCCTTGGTGGCAAAATATCTCTATAATTATTATCCCTTAATAGAACACCATAGTATCTCCGTTGGTCACATTTGTCTCCAAGTTATTTAAAATGCATGTAAATACATATCGTAATTCGTATACTACTTTCAAATTTTAGTTATCAAATCCCACGAGAAAACCCACAAACTGGACGCCCAATGGGGCCGACACGGATTGAGGGTGATGGAAATTACCCACCAAGCTGAGGATCCTGCCGAGGCAATGGTTTCAATCAAAAAGAAATTTTTTTCCAAGGGACACATCACAAATGAGAGTTTGTGGGAGTTAGAACAAGCTGTGAGTGAAAGGCAGTGGATCCACCCATTCAGAGTCCAGGCTGAACTGCTTTCCCACCATGTTCCCGTTTACCTCTACAATTTCACGAGAATTGTGCCATACAAACCGCTCGGCATGGATATTCCCATGTTCAGTTATCTTGTGGAAGGTACTTACATGGTTAATTTAGAAATTTACATGCAAAATGGGGGTACTCATGACAAGGTCTTATTTCGCATCGGAACTAATTTAGCAAACTTGCGAAGATCAAAATATTTCTGTGGTGAAGGGATTTGCAAAATATGATTTCGCAAATCTCGCCAATCTATTAAAAACGTCTATTTTGATGTTTTTTTCTTGGATTTCTGCAATTTTCGCTGCTGTTAATGGTGAGGATGAATTTGCGAAATAAAAACATGCTCATTTGCTGGGAACATTTGCGAAAAAGAAATCCCATGGTTTTCCAGTAAAAGTTTTGCGAAATCTCGGAAGTTTCGCAAAACTTCGCAAGTTATTTTACTATGTTCAATTTGTGGAATATGCGGGATATGTGACGCCTTAACGTGAGTACGCTGAGCTGAATGTAACAAATGTTGGCATTTTGTAGATGGCGCCACTACCAAAAAACCGTCGCATGGGGATGACCTTCCCTACGTGTTTAACGTTGGGGGTATTTTTTCTGCGTTCCTACCAAATATTTCGGGGCTTGAGGAGGAAGTTAATCTTTCCAAGGATATGGTGAAGACGTGGGTAAATTTTGCAAGAGAAGGGTGAGATGACAATGAGATGAATAGAGCTAATTCCTAGTAATTGAAGGGCTTAATTCAAATATATGTTTACGATTTTTACAGAAATTTCGAAACTTGTCCTTGGTCAAATTGGGAGCCTATCAGTGGTGAAAATTTTTATGAGTCGAAATATTTTGAGATTGGGGACAGCCTTGATGTGAAAAAGCTCCCAGCAGAGTGGAAAGAACTTGATGAATTTTGGGACAGTTTGAAGTTAAAGGAAATGGGTGGCAAATGGACCTCTTAAGTTGCATAAATGTAAACACATAATTAATTTGGAAATTGGAAAAAATAAGCATAAATAGCACAACTTGTTAAAAATTGTTAAAAAATAATAAAACAGCTTCATCATATCGTGCGCTCTTCGCGTAAGCAATTTAATTCATTAATTTAAGTTTAAAATATAACTCAAGTTATATTTTCATCCAATACCTTATGCGTACAGAGAAACGAAAATCAGTCGTAATTTCGAAGCAGGTATGATTTTTAGCAATATTTAGAATTATTCGGCAAAGAACAATAAGTATTGATTGTTTGAAATCTATGTATTTACATACTTCAGGCTTGCAGGAGTGATCGTTAAATCATTAAATACAAGCGCATTTATTAGATGCATCCATCTACATATACATAATAATATTCCACTGTTTCAAATATGCTTCCTGTTAAATTTGTGCAACGTGTTTTGGAAGTACATGAATATGTAATGTACATATATAATTCTGTGAGTGATATTTAACTACGTGGCAATTAAATACTCTCCCGGATGTTTACGTATTCATAACTTTATGAATAAACATTACTGTTTGCACAAATTCTTGAGCAAGAATTCCTATGCATACTCTTCATTCGCACACAGTTGAACTTTGACAGAAATTGAGAATTCTGGGAAACTACGGCAGTGTTAGTCTCAAATAGCTGATGGGGAACTTTGAGACTGAACGTGCTGTAGTTTCTCAGAATTCTCAATTTCTGTAAAAGTTCAACTGTGTGCGAATAGAGAGTAGGTACTTATTTTGTGGTTACTCGACTTGGAGGTCGACGCCGCCGATCGTACGCTGCCGCGCCGCCGAACGCTGGTGCATTTTACGCGCCGCTGCGGCCGAAAAATTTGATTTCCTATTCCTTTAACATTGCGACGCTGCGCCGCGCCGCCGACGCCGCCGAGAAATCACCAAAAACTGGCGCCGCCGCCACCGAAAATTTGTCGGCGTCGACCTCTGACTCGACCCACCTGATTTACTTATAAATTGTACACATGTACCTACACACTTTTGAAAACCCTTTGCATAAACGCGTGGATAAATTAATCAATAAATATGCATAATTATTCCCACACTTGCCAACGATGAGTTGGCAAGTGTGGGAAGTTGGTTTGTAAAGAACAGGTTTATTTTGTGAAAGTGATTGTTGCACATTGAGTGCAACACAATCAAGGAGAAGGTTTCCTTATGTGCAATCTTAATCAGATACATTTGTCACATTCTAGTTTTATATCGTGATCGCCTCTGGGCAGTGAGGCAATTATTGCAAGTCATCTCATTGTTATCTCTCTCACTCTCTCTTTCAATATGTAGGTTAGAAATAGGTATATCAACCATATATAAATAGCAGTCACGGCAGTACACGACAGCAATGGGGGAACGGTGGAGGACGGTCGAGGAAGTATTTTGTGCTACTGCAGGTTACCTCTCCCAATATTATTGGGAGAGGCAGAGTTCTGCCTGTTTGTACAAGTAATAAATAAAACCTCTCTAAGAAAAGTGCAACCAAGTCTCATCTCGCCTCCCAATTATTACGCACACACCACAACGACGACGACGATCGTCTCATCTTCCTCATCACCACCATCAATGCAGTCAACCCCCCATAAACGGAACTTCACATTGGTACCCACGGCGGCCTCTCCTTGTCAGAAGGAGAGAAGGACGCCGCACCCCCTCTCTCAACTCGCCCCATCTTCACAACTGCAGTGTGACGAAGTGTCACAACGACAAAAACGCCCCATTCCCTCTCTACCCCCCATCTTCACGACGTCGGTGTGACAGTCTCCGTCACCTCCGCCACCTCCGTTGGTCACCAAGGTAAGCCAAGGTAAGTAAAAACAATTTTTCCATGACTTTTTAACCACCCCCCCCCCACACTCTCCCCCCTTCACCATTTTACACGATCCACCATTGGTCGGTACTCCGTCGATATTTTACAGAAAAAAAATATTTTGAGTTCCCACCACCGACCATACGTCCACAATTCCCTAGAATCACGTACCTGTCAGAACTAAAAAGGACGGGGAGAAGTTTGGGGAACACTTCTTGCCCATAGGGGCCCCTACATTTCAAGTACACATAGAAGACTTTATGAATTTATTTCCCTTGACTGCGGAGACAGCAAGGACGAGGTCGTTTTTCAGTCCTTTTTGCACCTAGTAGGCCACGGTAGCCATTTTTTCGCCATTAAGCGTATTTTTCTAATTATCGGTTCACGCTCCGAGGGGGCGCCGATATATTTTGAAAATCATTTACCCTGTGAAAGTAAGTCGTACGCACCCCGTTGTTCTCTCCAGCCGTTAGGGCATCCTCCGTTTCATTTAGCGTGTTGGTAGTTATAGCTCTTTTTTTCATACCTGACTCACATCACTTTGTAATAAGAGAGAGCGGCAGCTCGTTCAACTCGACGGCATTGAGGATAATTTCATTTCTCGACATCGATATTACAAATCCCAAACCACTAACCCCACGTCGGCCTCCCCGAATCCTCGTTCTCCTCCTACTTACCGGTTACCTATAACCACATACGATCCACATTTTCATCCGGCACGCCCACTAGACCAATATTTTTCGGCGGACGAGTCGGCCTTACATCTCAATTAACCCCTGCATCATCTCACACTCTTGGTCCTCATAATTTTGGTGCCACATCGATTGGCCAATCTCTGCCATCAGCGAGGAACTTTCCAATTTCAACATCTCGACCCCAAATCGAGGTTGTTCCGCATACTTTTGGTGCCACGTCACTTGGCCAATCTCTCCAACCTGCCACCCCTTTCCAATTTCTACATCTCCACCTCAAAACGAGGTTGTTGCTCCACACCACGATTTCATTTTGAGTCCAAGACGTTCACCCCAACCAGAAACTGCTTCTCCTTCATCACCTCTCTCTTCTGACCCTGATAGCTAAAATCCAGTTTCGAGTGCAAATCAACTACCTGCAGCATCCATCCCTGCGACTTTTTATCTCAAAACTAGTATCTTGCCTCCCGCTACTTTCTATCCTCAACCAAACGCCAGCCCCCAACGTCTTCCATCAACCACCACACTCCACTCCAAACCGCATCTCAAACATCGTAGTCTACGAAACCTGCTGCACAACGACTCCGTGCCCATCAACCCCTCAATCCTTATTGGTACCACAACATCTTTTACTCCACCTCCCAGCAGTGGTTGAGACCCTGCCCAAAACAACCTTCCGCTCCTCAACCACCACCATTTTTTCCTTTCATTATTGCATCACCCACTCTTTTCCAAATGGGGACAACTATCAACGACATCACCATCTCTCCAGGATGTTCACCCCCGACAGACACTAACTCTCCTCTTTCTTTCCCACAAGTCTGTCCTAATACGGAGTTGGAACCTTTACCAACCCCCGCGGCACCTCTCCCTGCTAACATTTTTGTGCCACCTCACATTCTACCTTCCTTCCAACCTGTACCTCCACACCATACCAACGCATTCTATCGACCACCTTTCCCTCCCTCGCATATCTCGACCATTGATGGCGACTTCTGCGCCTGCCCACCACACATCTCTCACATCGACAATTTGACGGGGTGGCCCACACCCGCTACATCTTCTTCCTACGATGCAGTTTTCGCCCACCTCATTCAAGCCTTAAGGTTTACTTCCATTCAAGACTGTAATGCACACCCCCCATTCGTCAATCCCCGATCGACCAACGACCCGCACTTCGTCTCTCTCTTAGCCCAACAACTTCCTTCCCAATTACAACAAGGGATTGGTACATCCGACATGAGGCCTCATGTAGTCTCTGCAGGTTCAGATTCTATTCATATGTTAGATGCACCTCGCCCTCGGTTGTCGGGTCAGCACATGACCTTCATAGATTCCCCACCCACGGGTGGTTTCAGACACAATAACTACCAACAGCGCACCTCCCAGGGTAACCGTAACCATAGGGGTAGATCTTCGTATTCCATCAACCGTGGTGGCGGTTTCTCTACCCGCCAGAATGTACATAGCCAATTTCACATCCCAGCACCTTCGAATCACTGGCAATCCAGGAATACAGAATTCCGAGGCACACATCACATACAGGATGGTGACGGCCGTAATTTTGGTGGAGGTGGAGAGTCCATTCTCGACGACGCTACAAACCCAATACTAACCGACCTCGTAGTGATAATCACTCGTTGTATTCTCCCCCTAACGCACACCCCCGCCAATCACGTTCTAACTTATTGCCTATACACACTAACTACAATCCAAATCGCTCCTTCTCACATATCCCAAATACCTGGCGAGCAGATCTATTAACTCGACCTAATCAACCTACCAACCTCTCCCGACCACTTTCCAATTCTAACCCTCTACCTTCTTCACCCAGCCAACGCCTCGCCCCCCACACCGCCGGTGGCAACATTCCTTTTCCTTCATGCCCCGATTGCGTCGCCTCACGACACACGAATTTCTCTATCCCACATACTTTTAAACCAGGCAGAGTTTGACCAACCTCTGCCCCTCGGCAACGTTCTCAATTAGATCACCATATTACACTAGCTGTATTACTTATATACGTATCACGGCGAACCCAGGATGGTCCCCTTGACTATCCCCGTAATACAATAGTAATAAATAGTAATACTTACCGGTCACCCAGATATATATATACGTATTATAAAACCCACCCATAGGATTTAAAAAAAAAAAAAAATCCACAAGAGAATTCTTTCTCCTGTGTATTTTTTTGCCCTTTTCCATAGGTGATTTTCGATATCTAGGATTACGTAGACATCCCACATTCTTTTGTACCACATAACTATTACTTAGAAGCGAAAACCGGATAGCCTACCATATTAAACAGCGGTCCCTCTATGGTCCCCACAACCATTCGCCGCATTAAATATATAAGAGAACTCACGACGCGATAATCATAAATCCACAGGAGAGTTCCTTCTCCTGTGCATTTACGTTGCATATAGACTTCCATGGGCATCTCCCCTAATGAGTACCCTCACTCCCCTACCTTAAGATTTAACACTATTAAACTCCTCCTGGTCACCTTCGTCTGCACATTTTTCCAGTATTAGGCAACCTTCGATCTGTCATTCAACCAGTAGCG